CTTTAGTGGAGGTCATTTTGTGGACTTTAGCGGCGTTATGGACTTTAGCGGAAATTTTTGTGGTCTTTAGCGGTGTTGTGGACTTTAAATGAAATTAGGACTTTAACGATGCCACAAAGCTCCTCCCATTCTTCGCTATTCAAACGAGAAGCCACCAACGGCGGGATTGGAGAGTGGAATAACTAAAAAATTATTCAGTTAATGCACTCCTCTAAAAGTAACTGAAGTTAACTCAATAGAAGATCAAAGGAAAAATGACCATTCATGTTACAAAAATAAATAAATAATATACACATGAAAGGACAAAACAATTCTCTATGAAAAAAAATCAATAACTTCATAGGATTCGGATCTATTTATGTCGAAACATGCTTTTCGTAACTGATATGTCTTATACTTCCAGGGATACTGTAATTTAAAATTTGTGAAATAGGTATATAAATGAAAAGAAGTTAATATGGTTGGTATCTTGACCCTTCATATCAGTTAAGATATAATATTTTTTTGTTTAAGTGTTGAAACTAACATAAAAATGGCGGATTTGCACCAATATGGAGAATGAAGAAGAGATGAGAACTAAGCCATGTCTACGACGACATTCAGAAGGATATTAAGATGGACAATGAAATCATTGCTTGGAAGAGATCATAAAGGGTCAAGATACCAACCTCGTAAAAAGCGAAGAAAAATTCGCATATTTTCACTTAAAGTTAATTGAAAATCCATCAATAGTATTTTGTTAAGACATATTTTAATGCTGCAAGCATGTTCGTTTAAGATATAAAAATATTGAGTAAAAATATTAAATAATCACCGTATTTTGATTAAGCCTTCAAGATGTTGTTTCCTCTGTTTGAACATTCAGATGCATGAATAAGGATTAAAATGCTATTTATTTTCTCTTACCATACACTGTAAAATAAGTAACATAAGCAGACGTCAAGGATACTGATATCGTCATAATTACAAATTTGAGCAACCATGATTTCTTCCAAGCAATTATTACATTGTTCATCTTAATATCCTTCTGAATGTCGTCGTAGACATGCTTAATTCTCATCTCTTCTTCTTTCTCCATATTGTTGCAAATCCGCCACTTTTATGTTTAAACAATACGATATTATATCTTAACTGATATGAAGGGTCAAGTTATCAACCTCCTATTTATAAATAGTAACCGTCAGGAAGTACATGTATAACATGAGGGTCTGGATGGGGTTTACAGAATAGAGAATAATGGCATAAAATAATAACGAATAGAGAAAATAATAAAAAGAGAGAAAAATGAGCAAAAATTAAAAAACAAAAGAGAATAATGGAGTGCAAAAGTATAAAGAATAAATGTTACAGTGAAAAATAAACGAATAAGTAATACAATACTGATAACAGAAATGAAAGATGTACAGAATAAAGAAATAATTTATTTACCGAACATTTTAGTAATCATTATTTGCATGCACATTTAAGAGAATAAGCATTTTTTAAAGATAAAGGGAAATGTTCTTAAAATGTAAAGAATATAGAAATTAAGAACCCCCAATCCATACCCTAGCCTTTAAACACGTATTTATAGTTACACTCAGGAAGTTTTGCATGTATAAACCTATAAACACTTGACCATGATTAGTTTTGTTTGGAGTAATGATGTTTAAATCGCACACTCCTCACGATAACTTGAAAGTTTTTATTACTATTCATGATTATTATTATAATATGATTGTGCGTCCGATCAGAATGGGTACGTTAAATCCAATGCCTCGTGTAGAGAGTGCCACGCTCTCTGTGAGTTAAGAACCCTTATACCAACTCCTAAATGGGTCCATAGGTGACATGTTGCTAGGCAAAAATGTTTGTCCCTGTCCAATATACCCTCATTTTCCAGTGGCTGTCCAAATTTCATCGACCTACCTCTCGGACGAACTCTATTACAAGACTTACCTATGGTATTTATTGTTAATTTGTTTTCGTCTTGAATATGAATGAAATATTTGCCACTGCACGTTAAACGCACAGCAATCATCAACATTACGATTGTATATATTCATACGATGTCTAACAATATATATGACAGTAGCAGAATAAAAAAATTTCAACATTGTTTCCATTAGAATGCCTTTAATGATCATCATTGTAGTATATTCACCTGAACATGCATGAAATATTTGCCACTGGACGTTAAGCAATCAACAATCAGTCAATCACTGTAGTATATATGTAACACACAAGCGAGTGTAATTGCTCGTTTACATAATAATTGAGCTGCGTCGGATAGAAATCGACCTTATGCAAATGAATATCTATACATCTGTTAACCTATATCGGGTTGAAAAAATTTCTACGGAAAGCCTGAAACTGTTCGGAAATTTGTTTTTTTGAAGAAACCTGAATAACAGACCAAGATTCATCTTTTATTTCGTATTTGAATTTTCAAAAATCAACCAAAGTCTTACATGTATGTATATACACGTGTACTTGCATAAGGATGATTTCTATCCGACACAGATCATTTATTTTTGACTCGTTTCGGATGCATAATTGAAATCGTTTTGTAGTATGAAAATAGGGAGATGTGATATGATTGCCAATGAGACAACTATCCACCAAAGTTCAAATGAAGTGGATGTAAACAATTATATACAACCGTACGGCCTTCAACAACGCAAAAAAACCCATACCGTATAGTCGGCTATAAAAGACCCTGACATGAAAAATATGACGCAATTCAATTGAGAAAACTAAAGGCCTAATTCATAATAAAGCAATTTACGAAAAAACAAAAAAAAGATATAACAGACATGGACCAACGACAACCACTGAATTGCAGGCTCCTGACTTGGGACATGCACATAAAGAATGTGGCGGGGTTAAACATGTTTGAAGGCGTCAACCCTAACCTTACTTTGGAATCTGATGTAACAGTACTATAAACATCAGTTGAAGAGTATGTCCATACTGCTGCTGTGGCAATATAGAGGTAACTAGAGGTGATGATACTTATCTATGTTACGGATCAAGTGTATATTGTTGGATATCATAAGAGCTCCCCATCCTTCAATCTTTCCAATCTTCTAAAATAGCATACTTTCACTACTAGTATTTTAAAATTATTGGTTGATATAATATAGTTATTTGATAAATGTTTCTTCTTTTGCATTCTCAATCGGAATATTATAAAAACAAAACTGAGTTTTATATCCTTCAGTCACTCACTTTATAACAGAATATATATCTTAATATGTACTATTCTATAATCTTTATGTAGATAACATAAAATTCAAGTTTTTAATCACCAAGTAATTTTGCAAGACAAATAAGAACTGAACATGATTTCATGTGGTCTAACGATTTAAGGCGGACTGTACGTAATTAACTACTTTACAGAATTTCATTTTTTAAATTTAACATATGTATTCTTCTAGTAACCACCAAAAACCAACATTAGACGTAAAAACAAAGATAGAAAACGACGATCAACAAATAGGCCTGACTTTGTATGAAAGGAGGGACAGGTCAAAGAGAGACAGAGAGAAAGGGGAGGAAAAGTGAGAGAAAGGAGAAAATGGAAGGATGAAAGGTAATCAAGGAATCTAATATGACAAAATGCAAAAGAGTTCAAACGAGAAAACCAACGGCCTGATTTATATACAAAACAACAAACGAATACTTGATCAACTATGATATACAGCAACAAACGACAAATACTGTATTACAGGCTCCTGACATACAGAATGTGACAGGTTTAACATATAGTTAGGCGTCCATCCCTGCCCTAACCTGGGACAGTGGTGTAACAGCACAACATAAGAATAAAACAATATAATCAGTAAAATAGGGCTCATCAGATCGATACAAAGGACATTACACAACGATCAAAAATACTAAAGACACACAGTTCCGATTTAAGAGAAGACCAGAAAGTTAGTTCAAAGCCATGAACAACTAACGACGAAGACAAACAATCAATTAGTTTACATCAAATGGATTTAGCGTAATGATGGGATAATCAGTCTAGGAAAACATCACCTTGTGTAATGCTAAAATACATGTATCGACACGATGTAGAATCGTAAGCGTTTCTAAATGTTTAACAATTTTCTTACAAAATATCGATAACTTAAACAATGATAGTACGAATAAAAATAATATTCAAAGATCGTATAGCAGCGTTAAATTGATAACCTTTTAGAATAGGTTTATTCAACTGACGGGTAAGCTGATAAGGATCACATCTAAATAGCAATTGGCTCTAAAAAAAATAACACCGTAAAAATTAGATGATGTTGATGATGATGATGATGGATGGCTGCTAAACGTCCAGCAGCAAGTTAAAAGGTCTGGATGGTCCTTCAATTCTGTATTATCAAATGTTTTGAGCTGTTTGTCTCTTTTCTTTATAACTTTTGCCAATTATCCTCTTTATTCTGTATATTTTGGCACCCAATTATTCTCTCTTTAGTTTTTTTCTGCCCTTTATTCTGCATTTCATGCCTATTATTTTTAATTCTGTAAACCCTATCTAGACCCTCATGCAATGGTTTACAATGCCTATATAACGCTTCTCATAAAAAAAAAATAATAATGGTATAACATAGCAAGACATAGATCAAAGACTGGTTGACTCCAAAGTAATTATAATATGCCTAGTGAAAGTCTTTCTTTGAACTGAATATTTGTAAATGGGGTCGTAAAATTCTGGCTCAGCGTGTCAGATTTCGCGACCATATAACATTTACAATGTATCGTCCTAAATATAACTGTCATATTTGCCGCTGAACGTTTAGCATTCGTTTATCAATCAATCCATTATTGCGTTAAGATTTTCCCGGACTTCCAAATTTAAAAATGGCATGAATTGGTATTTGTATTTTCTTTTTAACTGAATTCTTGACACATAAATATTTTTAAAATGCACTATGAACACTTATCGGCATGTATATTGATTTTTAAACATTATCAAAGATTACGTAATATAGTGTTTCCTGTGTTATGGGCTATAATTAGGAAATCTTGACTAATCATGTGTATTTTATGTTGATATATGGATTTCCTTCTCGCCATGTTAAGACAGTTTGTAGAACGAGATGAATCCATTTTACTTATTTGGTATGTATATTTTCTGCTATTCATTATGAAAAATGCCTTTAACACATACCTCAACCTATGAAATCATACATATCAATAATACACACCCGATTTGTAACTAAAACAATTCCCTTTCTTTGTTTTCAGTAATACATGTACATGTACAAAGGGACCATAATTTAACTTTCAGAAACTGAATATTGATATATTTTCAAAGAATCTTTGTTCAAAAGACGACTTTCCAATTTCAATTTTATGAATGTCCTGCCCCGGTTGACCTGGGGTCATTTTGTGGGGGACACGTCATAGGATATTGTGACTTGAAAAATATTTGCTTTGTGACTTTAAATTTGCAAATAAAACCCATTCAATATGATCGAGATTTTCGTCCTCAAAAGACTTATCAGTATTTAGTTTTCTATGTTGTGTTCTGTGTACTGTTGTTTGTCTGTTTGTATTTTTTTCTTTTTTAGCCATGGCGTTGTCAGTTTATTTAAGTAGGGGTTAGCGTGGAAATTTTTTTGTTGGCACTACATGGATAAAACCAGAGAATTCTGAATATCTGGCAAAAGAATCAAAAACAAGAGGAGCGAACATCCTTAATTTGTCTTTTGGTGTTTTGCCATGGCGTTGTCAGTTTATTTTCGACTTTGAATGCCCCTTTGGTTTCTTTCGACTCTCTTTTATCAATGACGTTCGAATAAAAAAAAAAATGAAAAAAAGTCAAATAAAGTACGAAGTTAAACATGTTGAAGAGCATTGAAGACCCAATTTCCGAAAGGTTTTGCCAAATACAGCTAAGGTCTATTCCTGGGGTTAAAAATCCTTAGTATTTCGAAAAAAAAAATAAGTTCAATAAACAGTTAAAGTATAATTATGACATTATCAATGATAATTCATGTCAACACAAAAGTGCACCGAGTGGGATTATGAACTAATTTAAAAGTTCACAGGTCAGCTTTCTTTTTGACAGAATGAAATCAAAATAGTAGCTCAAAGTTAGCATTTTCTGCTGACGTTTTTGTGAAATTAAACTTGACAGGTCAAAATGGAGAATATTATACAAATGATTGAATTACATTTATGAACAGTTTATTTGTTTCACCTTTTTAAAATTATTGTAGAAAATGTATGTGTGAAATATTGCATTCAGAGAATATATGTGGTGCACAGTGTATTACTTATAGTATTGGTAAGTGTGTATAGAAGAGGTTTTCTTCTCCGTATATTTCTGCAATTTTACATCTTATGTCAAAATAAAGAGATGTGGTATGCTTGCCTATGAGGCAACTATCCAACAGAGTCCGAATGGCGTAAGCACATATAGGAAACAGTAAGTCTATTTTCAAACTTTACAAAAATATGAATTAAACACAAAATTAGGTTATGGACTAGTTCGCAGGGTTAATTCTGTAATTGTAATATAAAGACATGATATGATTGAAAACATGAATAAATACCAATATTATCATATTTCATAAGATCAATATGATTACAGAAAAATACAACCAACCATACAAACACAAATCCGAAACCAAGCGTCTTTTTGGCAATACCAATAGAAACTTAAGGATGTTCGCTACTCTGTTTCAAAATAACAAGATTTTTAAAAGTCTGTACTAAAATGATAGTATATAAATAAAGGAACTAAAAAAGCAGAAAAAAATGAAGGGTCCGTGTGCTTGTTTTCAAGATAAAAGCCACTGAAAATTTGGCGGGAAATGATTCTCTCTAGATTTTTCATACTTTTATCATTGGCCGCTTTTTTGTTTCAAAAACTATGAAAAAATAACAAGGATTTCATAAGATTTTCAAAGATGGCCTTTTAAACTATATGTAATAAAATTATGAAATGAAAAGTAGGGGTTAGTGGGCAAAATTTTTTAATGGCAATACATAGATAAAACCAGAGGATTCCGAAAATCTTGCAGAAATTCAAAAACAAGAGGAGCAAACATCCTTAAGTGTAAGACCTCACCTGTAGATAGAAGTACAGGTAAAAAAAATGTTTAGTGGTTTTGATACCTAACCAAGAAAACCAAAGACTTGAAAATAAGGATTTGATTCATGTGACAATTTTGGCTAACAGCAAAGACTGTTTGGCACGGAGTCAGAATAATGTGTCCACGAAGGGTGCCATGTCTTCCTGTGGACCGTTACCTAATGACATAGCACTTAAACAAATACGACTCTCTGTGTTGGTAAAATACAAAGCAGGGCTCATATTATTCATATCACATTAACATGCGAGTTGTTCTTATATATCTGTAGTAATTGCCACTGGACATTTGTCAACAATCTAAGACTAATTCCTGACATAAACAATGTAGACAACTTTGACATTAATGTTAAAGATCGCCTTATTAATACAGTTACAATTAAAAACCAATTGTTCAGAGAACAATTGAAGGTCTTTCCACCCTATGATATGGAAAATATTAAAATTGGGTTTGAAATGTCACTTCCAGTGCCAAATGATAGCTTATTGTAAGCTGATTTTAAAAATATATGGTTTCTTTACACTTTGTTTGAAATAAAGGAAGATAATTTGTCACTTCCGGTTTGAAAAATGTCACTTTCAGTATTATCTGAAAGTTTACTTGACACTGATTCCAAAAATTTATGATTCTATATACTTTCACATTATATAAGTACAAATAATAGCTACTTCCGGTTTACACAAGGTCATTTCCGGTTGGCTTTTCAAGGACATATGGCTAGCAACATAATGCAAAAGTCCTATAGCTTTATCATGTATACATATGAAGTTAAAGAAAAGATCAAAATCGAGAACGTCAAAATTCCATATGACTTTGACCTCAATTTCAAGGTTATAAACCTAGGACCTCTAATCAAAAGACCCTAGGTCTTTATTATATATGGTTAATGAGTTATATCAATATTCTCATAATTTCAAATATAAGATGGGGAAAACTGCCATTTAATGTCAACGTACCCTTTCAACCAAAATTTATGTGTTACGACATGTCGCAACTAACAATTTAACAAAATATGCTGTTGATATCTTATATCGTGTTTGAAAAGAGGTAAAAATAAGCCAAAATCCAAATTTAAAAATGACCTTGACCTTTGACCTTGACCCTATTTTCTTTTTTTTTGGACCAAGGACCTCAAATCAAAAGACCCTAGGGTCTCTATCACTTATGGTTTACCAATTACAATTACATTTCACTTATTTTAAATACAGAAGGGGAAATAACTCTCATATGGATGCTCCGGACCGCTTCGGTCAAAACTATTCTTAAGATCCTGAGGATATAACGAGCAAATTGATGAAATAATTTTGTCGTAATCTTTTACGGTTGTGAAGGAGATGCGCACACAAGAAAAACAGTGTTTGGGGAGATAACTCTTACAATAAAAAGTGTTCGGTTAAACAGGGTCAGTTTCAAAGTCGCAATAATTGTTAGATATCATATGCAAAAACTCTAAGCGACATCTTACAAAACCACCAAACACCGACGGAAGAAGAAAAAAAATAATAATAATTAAAAACCAATTGTTCAGAGAACAATTGAAGGTCTTTCCACCAAAAGCCATGTATTTTGATATGAAAGTAGTAAAATTCTGTTTAAAATGTCATTTCCAGCGTCAAAATATAGCTTATTGTAAGCTGATTCCAAAAATATATGGTTTCTATACAATATTTTTTAAATAAGGGAGACAATTTGTTACTTCCGGTTTGAAAAATGTTACTTCTGGTATTATTTGAATTGTTTACTTGACACTGATTCCAAAAATATCTGGTTCTATATACTTTTATATTAATAAAGTACAAAAATAGCTACTTCCGGTTAACACAAGGTTACTTCCGGTTGGTTTTTTCAAGGTTAAATGGCTTGAAACCTAATGCAAAAAGTCCAATGGCTTTATCATGTATACATATAAGGTAAAAGCAAAGGTCAAATTCACGAACGTCAAATTAACCTATGACCTTGAGCTCAATTTCAAGGTCATCAACCAAGGACCTCAAATCAAAAGACCCTAGGTCTTAATTATATATGGTTAATGAGTTATATCACCATACGCGTAATATTAAATACAAGAGGGGAAAAAACTCCAATTTAATGTTAGCGTACCCTTTCAACCAAAATGTATGTGTTACAACATATTGCAAGTAACAATTTAGTAAAATATGTTGTCGATATCTTATGCGGTTTTTTAATAGAAGTGAAAATAACCCAAAATCAAAATTTAGAATATGATCTTGACCTTTGACCTTGACCTAATTTTCTTTTTTTTGGACCAAGGACCCTAAATCAAAAGACCCTATGTCTCTATCACTTATGGTTTACCAATTACAAATGCATATCACTTATATCGAATGCATAAGGGGAAATAACTATCACAAATTATGGAATCTCTTTACCGCTTCGGTCAAAATAATTCAAAATATCCTGAGGATATAACGAGCAATTGAGAAAAATAAAATTGTCGTATTCTTTTACGGTTGCAATGGAGTAATGTGCACAAGAAAAACAGTGTTCGGGGAGATAACTCTTACAAAATAAGGTATTCAGTTAAGCGGTGTCAGTTTTAAAAGCGTATAAACTGTTCGATATCATATGCAAAATATCTAAGCAACATCTTTTGAGATAACAATACAGCGCATGAAAAAAATTAGGAAAGACCTAATGATGAAATGAAATGCTTTTAAAGCTCTACAAAGCTTATCATCTCCTCTTACCTATATATTCAGATGACAGGAGTATGCTTTGGGTATGAATTAAAATGTCCAGAAGCTTCCCAGTGGAGAATCAGAGCTACGTCGTTGTGTCCAGATTCCTCCAAATACTATTGTCTTGATGATGCAGCTAAAAAGCGTTACCTTGGAAACAGATTGATGAAAGGAGTGTCTGAAAACTGCACAAAGGTTGACGTAGAATCCCCTGGTAAGGTCTTATTAATATAATAATATTGAAACATTGAGAATAAAACTTATTCCAACAAATAAATCCAGCTATAAATAAAGTCTTCGAAATAAACATCACTTAAAGTTCACACGAAGACATAAATATTATATTTGATAAACAAAATGTTTGATTCATTGATGATACATTAAACTAATATACATGATCTTATTTTACTCATTAAAAAAAAGGTCACACTATATAGTAAAAGTAATGAGTGTAGAGAAATAACCTTTCTGTTTTGTTTTTTTGTTTTTTATTTCTTTTATTTGCGTGTGTGTGTGTGTGTGTGTTAAAAGGGTTTTCTTTTTTGCAAAATTAAATGGAAAAAAAAAAGATATAAGCAATAAATGTTGAAAAAACATGAAAATAAAAATCCAGTAACATAAATAATGAATTAGTTTTACCCTTGTCCGTCATTCCGTCATTCTGTCATTCCGTCATTCCGCAACAAACCATTATACGGACTTTTTTTCTAAACGCCTTCAGATATTGGGCAAATTTTTGGTATGTGAGTTAACCATGATGAGTTACAGATCAAGTTTAAGTTTCGTTCCGCTCTGCTAATTTTTGCCGAAATTACGGGCTTTGGACTTTGATAAATTGTTGAATTCCGTCATTCCGTCATTCCGCAACAAACCATTATACGGACTTTTTTTCTAAACGCCTTCAGATATTGGGCAAATTGTTGGTATGTGAGTTAACAATGATGGTTACAGATCAAGTTTAAGTTTAAAAATTTGTTCCGCTCTGTTAATTTTTGCCGAAAGTACGGGCTTTGGACTTTGATAAATTGTTGAAAATCATAGTTATACGGACTTTTTTTCTAAACGCCTTCAGATATTGGGCAAATTGTTGGTATGTGAGTTAACAATGATGAGTTACAGATCAAGTTTAAGTTTCGTTCCGCTCTGCTAATTTTTGCCGAAATTACGGGCTTTGGACTTTGATAAATTCTTGAAAATCACAGTTATATGGTCTTTTTTTCTAAACGCCTTCAGATATTGGGCTGATTTTTTGGTATGTGAGTTAACCATGATGAGTTACAGATCAAGTTTAAGTTTCGTTCTGCTCTGCTAATTTTTGCCGAAATTATGGGCTTTGGACTTTGATAAATTGTTGAAAATCACAGTTATACGGACTTTTTTTCTAAACGCCTTCAGATATTGGGCTGATTTTTGGTTTGTGAGTTAACCATCATGAGTTACAGATCAAGTCTAAGATTTGTTACACTCTGCTAATTTTTGCCGAAATTACGGGCTTTGGACTTTGATAAATTGTTGAAATCACAGTTATACGGACTTTTTTTCTATACGCCTTCAGATTTTGCGCTGATTTTTGATATGTGAGTCTACCATGATGAGTTACAGATCAAGTTTATGCTTTGTTCCGATATGCTGATTTTCATGTCGTTTCAACACATCTTCAGTACATCCACTTCCTGTTTGCTGATAGTTTGAAATTTAACTACTCATTGATCAAGGAAATGTTTCATCAAACTAGTATTGGTCTTGAGAGCTGGATACTATCCATGCATGTTTGTGTCCACATGTGTTGTTAAAATTGCAGATTTTTTCAACTTTTTGAGACGGGGCCATTCGTGTCGTTCCGACACATCTAGTTTTTTTTTTTACATATATCCACTAGATTTGAGAGCTTCATTCGTAAGATTGTGAAGACACTGTTGTCAGGAATATGACAGTTGTTATCCATTCGTTTGATGTGTTTGAGCTTTTGATTTTGCCATTTGATTAGGGACTTTCCGTTTTTAATTTTCCTCGGACTTCGGTATTTTTGTTATTTTACTTTTGAAGAGACTTTGATTTTTTTCTCTTGATGACTTTTCTGGTTGTATCTCTATTTTTTATACTAGATAAAGCACAAGGAACACATTACATTTCTAACTTGCATTATTAGTTCAAAATGTAGTGAGCAAATCGATTATGAAAATATCAGTTGATTCAGATATGCGGTTTTATATTTGGCAATGTAAAATTAGTGTAAGTGTAATTACGAAAAAAGAATATATGGTGCTCTTTTTATTCGTCTTTGTATATTAACCTTTACTGTTCAGTCAATTTTTGAAAATGTACTTTTGGCGTGGCTCGGTATTTATACCTCCCTTCATTGTGTTATTGTGCTATGGTCATTTTTTTTATATTCATGTCTTTCATTTTTGCTTATGTACTTTTTCTATAGATTGTCTACATGCTATTTTTTTTCTTTGTTGAAATAGTTTTATATTGATTAAGATTATAACACAATGTTGACTGCTGTACCCCAAATGTTGACAAGTTTACCTATTATGTCGGTTTTGCTCACAATTTATTGTCAATATAATGGAAATATATGCAACTGTCATACAAGTGAGAGGTTTATCTAGCTATAAAACCAGGGTTAATCCACCATTTTCTACATAAGGAAATGTTTGCACCAAGTCAGGAATATGACAGTTCTTTTCTATTCGTTTGATGTGCTTTAGCTTTTGATTTTGCCATTTGATAATGGACTTTCCGTTTTAAAATTTCTCTGGAGTTCGTTTTTTTTTGCTATTTTACTTTTTACGCATAACGGAAAGAGTTGGGATACGCTTTCATCGTAGGCATGTATCCACATAACGTTATGAGTTGACATATACCTTCATCGTAGGCATGTACACACATACCGTTATGAGTTGACATAATTATACCTTCATCGTAGGCATGTACACACATAACGTTATGAGTTGACATATACCTTCATCGTAGGCATGTACACACATAACGTTATGAGTTGACATATACCTTCATCGTAGGCATGTACACACATAACGTTATGAGTTGACATACACCTTAATCGTAGGCATGTACACACATAACGTTATGAGTTTACATACGCCTTCATCGTAGACAGACATACATTAAAAAATTAAAGAAGTGAAATATACAAAATAAGGTCTTATTATATATTTTTAGGAAAGAAGATTGTTATTCGTGGTCAGTTTGATGCTGCTTTCTGCGATGCAAGCCGATATCAACCTATCAAATATTTCACAAATGTCAGTGCCGAGTGCTTATTCCAAAAGTCTACATGCTCTGGACTCGGACAAACTATACACACCAACAAAAACCCGGTTACTGATCTAACATGTAGATGTGATCATAAGAAGGGATACACCTTTACAACACCTCCCAAGAACCAATGTTTTTGTGTGCCTTCTGTGGAGGATTGTTCATGTTACAGAAAACCGTGCAATAGTTCAACGATTGGATTATCCCAAGGTAAACACACTTTTTACTAAAGATATTCACAATAAAAGCTATGTTATTCCTTTTTGGTCAAAGAGCTCTTCAAATGTTTCGGTATGTATACATTCTTCGGCTTTGAGCGTTCCTGATGAAGGTTAATAAAGAAAAGTGCTTCAGACGCATGAAATTTATAAAGTGTTTGTTTATATTTTATTCAAGTAGTACTTTATCAAAGCAATGCGGTATTTGGGTGAGAGTGCTTGGCACAAAGAATAATGTGTCCGTTTAGGATGGCACTCATTCGTATGAACTGTTACCTTGTGAACTAGCACGTTGTTTCGTTACAGAAGACGGGTGTTTGCATATATCATTAGCATATTTTTCCAATTATCCATGAAGTATCAAACATTAAGCAGTTTTATCAACACTATATTTACTCTGCTTAAATCGTCCAAAATTAAGTCTGTGATGTATGATCAAATAACGCAATAACAGCCAGCATTTCAATACTTGCAACATGTGGTGATCGTTGTTTTTTGTCTGTTTGTAAGTTTGTCAAAGATCACTGAATTGTCTGCTATACCCATTAATAAGATAGTACTCTAGACAAACAAGCAAAATTAAGGCCCCACACAAAAAAAATTTTTTTCGGAGTTTGCAGATCAAAATAGATGGGCGGCGAAGGCGAGTGAAATTGTTTTATTTATTTTTTTTATTAATTTTGCAATTACTCGACATGTGATATGCCAAGAACGACTCCGTTTTTTAGTTGTTCGACAATAAACATTTACCCCAACTTTCAGCTATGTCTCTCCGTTTCTGTTGAGTTTTGTCTAACATATAACAATCCAATAGTATCCGTGGTCGGCAAACAAATGATAGTGTTTGACATCGGCACCTTCGAATTTTGTCAAATGCAAAATTAGGCGAAATTGTTGATAACACTCATTATTTTGAGTCGAGTTGCTGAAAATTCAAAGCGCGATTCTGACGAACAAGACATTACTTAATAGGTGTGGCCTTAATGACGGTCTTGCAAACTTTCAGATCTTACTTTTCTATCGTTTTATTATTATCTCTGTGGTTTCATGATTTAGTCTATCTAGTCAGTTATATTTTGTTAATTTTAGGGTTGATGAACCCTTCTGTAGGCCGATATATAACTAAATATTCAAAATGCAATAGTATCAAAACAACAAGGATGCTGAAAACAAAATGTGTGCCATTTTGTATATATACCAAAGGGAAACGTTGTTCATAGCAATATATTGTTTCATTGAATTTGAAGTCATTTGAAACTTCAAATTTAAAAAAAAATTGTTGAAAATGTTTTATATACTTGAATGACTAAGTTTTACTATACAAGTGTACGTGAACTTGTAAAAGAAAATCCTTTATATTATCAAAATTTGTATACATATACTTCTATTGAATTGTTGTCTTCCCGTATACTAACTAATTCGCCGATATTTTCCCGTATGCAGTGACCTTAACTACGTGACCTCTCGTTAGAACTTCGGCCACCGCACAGTGCAAGTGCAAGGGAAAACCCACGATGAAAGAATGTAAACAAACATGCACTGGAAGGTACATAGCAATAACGGATTCTTAGAGAACAAATTTAATACAACAAATCATTTAACAACTGTTTAGGAAAAATTTCATATCATGGGAACTCATCGAAATAAATAAAAATATATATCATGTCTCTTTCAGTACAATTATTTGTCCCATGCTCCACGTAAACTTCGGCAACATACTCGAAAGTTAATTAGTTTGCGATCAACAATCCCTGAATGAAATATTGTTTGTCGATAATACGTTATAGATTCGAAATAAATATAAAAGCAAACGTGCAGACATGACTAGGTTTAGTATATATGCATGCATTGGTTCAATAATTTCGATATCATTAAAGTTACAAGAAACTCGTTTCATATGATTTTAATGAAACATGGGGATGTTGTGGCAATTCAAGCCAATATATTTAAAGAAAATCCGTAGCCTTTTTAACAGATTTTTTCGTTATAACATTTTTTAAAATAGATTACTCACTTCTTTTTTCGATGGTTCGCTACCATTTAATGTCTACAAAAAGCCCAAACAAACTTGACAATCCAAAACGCTTGTGCTGATTAATAAAAGACGGGCGCACCCTATTTTTTTCTTGAATAGGTCCATATAGTTTGTACTTGTTTTAAGTACTATCTTTATTTAAAATATCGTTTTATGGAAATCATTGTTTGCAGTGCATGCAGTACTAGCTCCCCTATCTATTAAGTACCAAATGTTCAAATATAGTATTATAAGAAAGGCTGTGGATTTTCTTTACAATTTCTTTATGTTTAGCATTGAAACAACAAAAGGGTAACACGTGTTACTAATGTTACATGCAAGAATATAATTTTTTTTCAGATTATCAGTGCTTTTCAAATATATCGTCAGTAATAACACAAAATTGTTCATTCGTTAAAGGGTAAGTTCTTTTTGTAATATTGCATGAGCTTGTCCGTTCGTATGTGTGTCAGTCACTAATTGTGACGTTTTGCGCTCGCTTACTTTAAACACCCCTAGAGTTGGATGATGCAACATATTTATGATAAAGATATGTGGTATGATTTCCAATGAGACAACGAGAGTCCAAATTACATGGGTTTAAGAAACTAAGTATGCCTTTTCAACATAATCACATGTTTCTCGTAAAAGCAAGGAACTGTTTAATGACTTTTGAAAAAAAAACGTATTTAAACTGAGTACAATGTACATATGTACAAAAATCGTTTCCTTTCTCAAACTTTTAAACCCCTCGGCATTGGATAAGGACACTAGAAGGTGTGTCGTGAACGAGGACAAAAACCGTACATTGAAAGTCATCAAAAAAATTACCTCCATTTAGTCACCCCTGTACGTATGTACAAAAATGGTTTCAGCTCTATTGATTTAAAGCCCCTTGGGTTTACGGGATGCATAAGCTATATATATAGTGATGCGCCAATAAAAAATTTACCTGTTGTGGCTATGCGTTATGTTTAAATGGAATAATCCTAATTACTACGAATTACAATTTACTAATTTACTCGAATGAGGCCCTCCGTGCAGGCTACAAAATCTATCCTCTACTTGATAATTGAGTCAAAAATTTATAACCCCAAATTACTTCGAAACTATTCAAGTCACTTGTTTATATTTACATGTATTAGTGGGTCTTAGTTTTTCGATGTGAATTATTGCTACAAAGAAATGGCGACAATAGGATAGACCGATGTTTTTTATTGCTACAAAGAAATGGCAACAATAGGATAGACTAATGTTTTTTTTTATTGCTACAAAGAAATAGCGACAATAAGATAGTCTAATGGTTTTTTTATTGCTACAAAGAAATGGCGACAAAAGAATAGTTTAATGACTTTTTATTGCCACAAAGAAATGGTGACAATAGGATAGACTAATGTCTTTTTATTGCTACAAAGAAATGGCGACAAAATGATAGACTAATGTTTTTTTTTATTGCTACAAAGAAATGGCGACAATAGGATAGACTAATGGTTTAACTTAAATATTCAAAACAAAGATGCCAAAAATAAGGTCTATTTACTGTCAATACACGGAAAATTTGCAGTTGAAGTTCAAAATAAACTGTACATAAACATATTCTTACGTAGCCTCTTGAAAAGATATCCTAATGTTGCAGGCTAGGAATGGGCAACACAAAGATTGAGAAATTTTCATAATAGTACATGTAGTATTAATCACTTTTCCTTCTACTCCAAGATAAATACATGTTGATATGACCAGTTTTGGTGTAAGATTTTACATTTGTATAACATGTAAGGAATTACTGTAATATTTTTTTCTGTCTATGAAGAAATAACATAAAAAATGTGGTGCATTCTGAAGGTTATCGCAAATAGACAGAAAAAATATTACAATCTGTCCTTATAATTTAATTCTAAATTCATTTTTAGGAGTAAATCATAAAAAATGCGTTGATAACGTAACGGTCGCATGACAAAATTATGTCTATGAGCATCATGAGCTGATTGACAAAAACACTTTCAGCCAATCAGAAGACGTGTTACTTCTAAAATTAAAATATTTTGCCGTCAATGCATAGCGGCAGTACAGTTATGGCATTGAAAAACATCTATATTTCAGATTGCAAATGTATGCTCTGGATCCACACTTCGAAATCAATATGTTCACTCTTTTAGAATGATGTCAAAACAATTCGGACATTGGAATCAAATTTATTAACCTGTACTTTTGTTATTTTGTCTTGTTATTTATAAGTTTAATTTTTAATAACTGCTTAGTATACAATTGAGGAATGTTTGACTTTCATTGCATTTGTTTTTGTTATAAACATTTTATTTATAGAAATGACAATTAAGTTAAAATGTTTTATCAGATCAGACAAAAAGGATGAAAATATATCATCTACACCAAAAGTACCAGGTTTTATAGACAAAACACAACCACGTATGTATTTTATATCTTTATAACATTAGACAAGGCCACTGCAATAAAATTAAAAACAACATTGATACAATCTACCAAAAATGCACTATCTCGTTAACCATATTTGACATTTGAATTGAAAAAGGAATAAGAAGTAAAACAACAAAAATGCAGAACTTCATTGAAAATTTAAATCGGAAAGTCCCATATCAAATGGCAAAATCAAAAGATCAAAACCCTTTTTTTTTTTTATTTTTATCTTTTTTTCTATTGATTTCAGTATGACAATTCCATTTGTTTTGTCTACACCTCTTTTTAAGATACTATAATATATATTTGAAACAGTTGCAAAATAATGAGGTTTCAAGATTAATTCAAAATTTGAACTTTTAATTTGAGAACAGACAACTTTGTTAAAAATGCATGACAATCAATATGAATATGTGGCGCTAAGATATCAATGAATTTGTTTGTTCTAAATTTTACTTTCTTTGTAATGAATTCAAAGTGTAATTTCAGATGCAGCTAATTTTAGAAGAACACCTGGTATATTTGTTACAAGCATTTTATGTTTAATGCTGGGTCAGTATTTAACACAATCAATTTATTATAATATTTTGTATAGCTATCATGCTTTGATTGTTAGTGGGGCTAATATCCCCTGTCATAGTATAAGAAATAAAATAACAAAAATACCGAACTCCGAGGAAAATTCAAAACGGAAAGTCCCTTATTAAATGGCAAAATCACAAGCTCAAACCCATCAAACAAATATATAGCAACTGTCATATTCCTGACTTGGTAGAGGCATTTTCTGATGTGAAAAATGGTGGATTAAACCTGGTTATATAGCTAGCTAAACATCTCACTTGTATGAGAGTCTAAAATTCCATTATATGGACAGTAATGTGGGAACAAAACAAACAGACATAATAGGTAAAAATGTCAAAAATAGGGGTAAAGTAGTCAACATTGTGTTATAATCTCAATCACTATGAAATCAAACAAATATGGCAACAACAAAAAAAGAAAAAAAGGGCAAATAGACAAAACACATGAGCAAAAACGAAAAACAAGAATACAAAAATTTACCATAGCACAATAACACAATGATGGAATGTATAAGTACCGAACCACGTCAAGTGGATATTAAGAATGATTCTTAACTTTTAATGGACCTGCAGCCGGTTGTACGAACGTGTCATTAGTCTAATGAGTCATTAAGTCTTCGTTAGCCTAATGCATCCTAAAGGCTTAATGAAGACTTAATGACCCATTAGGCTAATGCCACGTTCGTACAACCGGCTGCAGTACAACAGTTACCAATTTAATCTGACTTCAACTAGGTGTAACTTTTATTTCCTCGACGATCTTCGGATGAATATAGATATGATTAAATATCGAACATATTCGGATATCAATGTAGTCACCAGGACATGACTAACAATAAAAATCAATGTTTGAGTAATAGAAGATTTCTATGTTAGAATCAAAGTGAGTTTTTTTCTTTACAGAACACTTGTTTTTTTTTCCATTTTCCTGTAAACAAAATTGTATTTATGCTAGCAAGATGTGTAAAGCGCTTAAGACCTGAGGTTCCATAAAGGCTTTATTGAACCTCAGGTCTGGTCCTAAATTAGGCTTAAATGACATGTTATACAACTAGATTTTTTTCTTTCAGCGATATTTGCAGTAGTTCTATTTCTGATATACAAAGGTAAGTTGATTTATTTTATTTACATATTATTAAATGAATATTCCCATACCATGTTGCCCATTTATAATATGTTGGTTTTTTTTCTAGAGACTTTCACATGTTTTCTCATATCAAGTTGTGTTAGAAGAATTTAATATTTATAACACTTGTAAAAAATCAAGAGAGTCAATAAACTCTCCTGTTTTTGATACAAGGTTATTTACCATACGTATAACATAATGTTTTACATCACTATATTTTTTGTATTGGTGTCTGATATGCATTTTTTAAAGAAGCTTAGAAATAGTAAACATTAGAATACATATCATTTATACTTCATTAGAGAAAAAAAATATCTTGTGGTTAGCGTTCTAAGCAGTATTATTCAATCAACCATATAACATAAAATAAATGTTCCAAGCAAAATATACCTGAACAAAAAATAAATGACGTATCGAAACCATTTATTTATAGTTATCTATGTTCAATGTCAGTTTCGTTTAAAAATGATCGCACAAACGATTGTTATGGGTGTCGATTTTTATTTATTATACGCACACGCCGATGAGTAGAACTAAAATGCTGATGAATCTTCGAAAATGAGAGTTCTGATGGGGAAACGTGGGAATTAATATTTATCGGAATAGGGGGTCGTTGACAATGATAAGATTCTTGAACCTTAAATGCAAATGAAAAGATGATAAGTAATTGGAACGGTGTTTGCGCGATTATAACCGAGATCCGCTATCCCTTGAAATTAAAAGATGCAGTTTTCTTATTAGATTTTTACAATGTTTCATTAGTAAGCCATAACCTTCCTCAGCTAATTATAATGTATAAAGACAATGAAATATATGAAAGGTTTGATAATTAGGATTATTACTAACGTTCAACAGATTTAAAGAGTCTGAATCCAGAAGAAAAACAGACAATACTTGAAAGTATAAACAAAGGAGAAGAAATCTATCCACACATTAGACTTGTAATTATAGGAGAGAATGGTGTCGGTAAAACATGTCTCATGCGTCGACTTTTGAAACAAAGCATTCTAGGCGTGGAAAGTACAGACGGCATTGATATAGACGTGGCAAAATGTAAAATCAGGATACGAGATGGGAAATGGATTTACAAACGTATGTTATTGCAGGATATTCATTAGGGGAAATGAAATTAAGAAAAAAAATTAAAACAAAAACAAAATTAAAACCAACAAGTACAACAAAATAAACGAAGATTAAAGTAATGGACTAATCTGATTACATAACGACCAACTTAAATTTCTCAAACTACCTGTCTAACTAACATTTTAAATTCCAGAATTCATTGATATGTGATTTCTTCAATAACAAGGGAATAATAATACTTTTCGTCTAAAACATCATTTATAATCTTTTATTAAGTTTTGAATCATATGCAACCCTAATTAACGTCTGGAGCAGTACCAAATTCAGGGCCCCTTTCAATTTTTAGGTAAAGAATCGTCCCAAAATGTTTTCGATTCGCTTTGATCGGCAATGTATATACCTTTGTTTCCGGAATTACGCCCTCTCTTTGAAAAAACTGGACCCGTCCATGCGGTGTTATAATTATGTGATAGGCCCAAATAGTACCTTCGACGTAAAAAACATCAGTTTCAAAACACAAAAACAATTCTGTGGAATTAAGGTTTTCATAGAAGTTTACAAGATAACTGTTGAAAGGCAACGTTTTATTTGAGTCAGTTTAGTATGAACATGCACGAGCGTTGAATGAGAGGCGAAAGATACCAAAGGGACATTCAAACTCAAAGCCGAAAAAAAACCTGACAACTCTATGGCTTAAAAACAAAAGACCAAAAGACAAACAACAGTTTACAAAACACAACATTGAAATCTAAAGACTAAGCAACACGAACCCGGCCAAAAACCGGGGTGATTTCAGGTGAGCAGATCCTGCTATAGTTAATACTCGTCCATCTGCGTCACAATCGATGAAAAGATCAATATATGAAGTAGATCTTCTTGTTCTGGTAGTATCCTTCATCTAAAGTTCAGCGGGATGTATAAAATGCAAGCACTCACTACAAAAAGCCAGCACGCACTAAAAATAGCAACCATAATAGCTTGTGCATCACCAAATTTCATATAGATTAGAAATTACTATTTTTAATATACTGTCAATATTAAACCTTTCTTTCTTTTTTTTTTTTTTTGTTAAACAACTTTTTTTATCTTATTTTATCAGCCAGCGAATACAACAAAAAAATTGCAGAAAGAGTTAAACGGGCTCTGACCGTGCAAATTAAACAAATTGATGAAAATAATCTTACCAGTGCAAGTAGCAACAATGTTGATTGCCCCAACATAGAGGAAAATCAATCGCCAACTGATGAACGACAAATTAATGAATCCAATACTCAACTAGAAAAACATGACGTCAGTGACAAGATGATTGTTCCACAACTTGATGATACACTAGGTTCGACAGACGATGATTTATATATAATGGAGACAGGCAGTGAAGAACAAAAACCTGTTAATTTACAGAGAACATATGCACATAACGATGAACATTTTGGTTCGCATAATGGCGAAACTGAGTCTGACCATAAATCCGTATTTGAAGACCAGCGTTTGCTTGACGATTTAGACCTGTTAGAGTCTGTAGCTAGTTGCAAATTATCGGAAAATGAATATGCAGATTGCGGATTATGGGACTTTGCTGGTCAGAAGGAATTTTACGCGACTCATCAAGCATTCATAACAAGCAACAGTATTTTTCTATTAGTAGCGGATATATCGCAAGATGTGAATACAGATGTTGATACTTCTATGTTGCAAAAAGGATTTGATAGCATTGGAGGTATATTTTCGAAATCACTACATGCACATGAAGAAAGATAAGTAAAGAAACTGGGCTTTTAGTGCTTTTCTTCATCTCAAAATCACAGTGATTCCTTCAGCACGGAACAAAAACTAAACCCACTTTCGGTTAAAAAGATTACTTATGACTGCTTTGAATGCGATTATGTTCTATGTGTCGATCAATCTACTGCTAAGCATTAAAACACACAGCTACGTGGAAATATCAACAAATAATAGAAAATAAATGCCAAAGAAATCTTACAGAAACTGTCACAATTTGTCTGAAAATCGCACTATATCGTGGAGAAACAAAACAAAAAATATATAACAAAAGTACCCATCTCCAAGGTAAATTAAAAAAGGAAGGTCCATAAAAAATGACAAAATCAAACGTTATCAACACACGGAACGAGTGGAAAACAACTGTCATATTCTTGATATGGTATAGGTAAATCAGAAGACAAAAAAAGGGGGGAGGTTAAACCTGAATTACAGCTAGCTAAACCTTCTACTTGTATGGCAAACATTAAGACAACAACGGGGCACATAAAAAAATGTGTGAAATAACTTGTCAGGAGGTTACGGATACCTAGTTAGGGCATATAATTTGGAGAAAAAGAGATGCATAACAATTTCATTAAATAAACTGACCAAAAGCAATCAAATAATTAAAACATAAGAAAAGCTCTCCCTAGAATAAATACGCCTTATTTTAATTATATCAGACTATACACCTAATGCATAGAGAAACTTGTTTCGGTCTCAACAATACTAAAAATGATTTCCTTTTAAAAAGCACTCAGAGCATTAAATACTATAAAGTGGATGTGTAGGACGTAAAACGATCCCATCCGTTTGATCGACCTTATCATTTAAGAATGATATTAGCAAACACTAGCTCTCGACCGTGATTATTTTATTGAAACTATCTTGATAAATGAATTCTATGTTTTATTTAACAGAATATATTGATTTCTGGTTCGATAGTATTCACTGTTATGCAAATGGAGCAACAGAACAACGGCAATCGACCTTAGAGCCACGAATCATTGTTATTGGTACTGGAACTGATAAAATAAATGTAAAAATTCATTTAAAGATACTGTAACACATTCAATTAAGGAATGCCTCATTAGATAGACTAAATTTTATAATCAAATTGAATAATATCTATTTATATTCGTTCATGTTAAACTCCACAAGTTTTTGACAACATCAAAAAGATGTGTAATAACCTTGAAAAAAGTCCTAAGATGAAGGTCAAGTTAGACATCTAACAACTATTTCCATTAGCTATAACATTTATTTTGGCATGCATCCAAACACATACTTGGAAGCAAATTTCAGCATATGATTAATAAATCTTGCCAAGAAAAAAATATGTATATATTCAGATCAAATACTTCAAGTAATTCCGAAAGATGAACTTATTGAAACTATGTTCTATCGGAAGGTAAAGGACCAACTAATTAATTTTGTAATTTTTTTTTAGAACATATGTGTATATCCTGACTATAAATCCTATCAGGGTTTTTCATCCGAAGTGAAAACTGGATGGTAGGGTCATAGCTTGATATTTATTGAAAATATCTAAGGCTAATGAGTCTCAAAGCGAGAGGATTGGTAAAACCGTTCATGAGACTATATATTTTGTAACTAAATGAACATACAAAATAATTGAAAATATGAATGCTTCAATACATTTCTTATTTTGTTTAGGTCAAGTCTGGGGAGATTCACAGTTACCCATAGTTAAAAGTTTAGTGCGGTTAAATATTTAGTTGTCACTGTTCATTCATAAAATATTTAGTTAATATGTTTAAATTTACCTTACTTGTAAACTTTCCAGCTTATAAATAGTAATCCCTTCAGACAGTTTTGTGTATGCCTTTTCAATCTGAATCTCTGTTTGGATTTATATATTTGCTGTCAAATCTAAAGACTGTTGTTCGAAATAACATGATATGAAAACAAAATTTGTATTTTTTTGATATTGTAAGATGCATATAAGATTATGATTCGTGTGCTTTCTGTTTCTTTCACATGCAAGTATTGCAGATTCTTAATTTTAAAATTGATGACTACTATATTGCAGAAGAAAAACCTAGAAAGCAGGATACAAGAATGGCAAAGAAATGTAATGGTTCTTCTTAAGGATCAAGAAAAAGGAAGGCATTTAGAAACATTTCACTATATTTCAAACAAAGAATCGCCTGAAAGTGTAATCGACGATCTCCGTCAAAAAATATTTAACACCGCCAAAAAACTGTCTGTATGGAGAAAAAGTACTCCTCTGGTATGGATTAGACTTGAGACAAAACTAAACATCTTAAGAAAATCGAATGACAATATAAATATTATAAAATTCGAAGATATTAGTCGTATAGCCTCCAAATGTTCACTTACAGACTATGAAGAACTAGTTAAGTTTTTAAATGAGCAGAATGCAATTGGAAACGTTATTTTCTTTGAAGATATACCCGAGTATATAATTTTAAATCCCAAATGGCTTGTCGATGCTTTTAGATGTGTTGTGTCAGATAAAATTAAGACAGACATTGACGAGAGTGGAAAGATAAGTCGAGAACTAATGTTAAAATTATTTCAAAAGATCCCTGAATTAAAAATTGAAACATTCGATGACCATATCCTGAAGGTAATGGAAAAATTTGATATAATAATAAAACCGAGAATTAACGAAAACCTTGATGAGGAAATATCATATTATATACCATCCATGGTCATTAGTGATTCGACGATCGCGGATATAAAGACATCTTTTGGATTAAACAATCCTAATTCTAAATCATCACCATGGCTTATTTTAGAATTTACATTTCTGCCACTCGCATTCTTCAACCACGTGTTTTTCGATTACATTCGAAAATATGAAGTATGCAAAGATAGAAACAATAGAATGGCCTTTTACCATGGAATCGGAATCTTTTACATTAACAAAACCAAAAAAGAGCAGAAATTAGTTGTTTGTTTTTCCAGAAACATTATAGCGCTTCAAATCTGGGATTTAGAGGACAATATGGGAACTGTTTGTAGAAATATCTTCAATGAAATTGAATCAACAGTCCACAGTCTGCAACAAAGATATAAGTTAACATTAGCATATAAAGTGAAAGTAAAATGTGCTGGGGGAGACTATAATAATCAGCAAGGAAGATTGAAATTATCTGATTTAATCAACATAACCAGTGGAAAATTCTACTGCGAAGAACATAATGAATTTCATTTTTCGCAATCTCTATCTTCAACTTGGTTTGAAGGACAAATAATTGTAAGTATATGCATCTAACAAAAACTAACGCTTTACGTTCACATTCGCTTTTGAAGGGCACTAGGTCGTCACAACGTTTATGTTTGTAAAATCCTTATTAAATGAACACTGCACTTTAATTTCTCCACTTGATACGAAATTGACTAACGTATGGTTATCAACGAACAATAACTAAACATATGAAATTACCTACAAATGACCGTGTGCAAGACTTATCAGCAGAGCTTCAATTTATTTGGTATAATCTCGTTTACTTGGTCTAAATAAGGTTTAATTGCAAATTGTTCAATGCTTGAGAGAAAACACCAAGCCGATAATGGTCTGGTGTATGGGTTTCCTATCAGATTAAAAGTTACCTTAGTATGTTGCAGTTAAATTGTCTCATTTAGTTGGTATCAATTAAGTCAGATGCATTTAAACCATTTCAAAATTGGCAAATATGATTATTGAACAAATATTGATTGGTATTTTCCGCACAGCTAATGATCAGTACTCCTAAAAAGACAATACTGGTTGATTGAAATGTTCAAAATGATTTTTACTTTCATTTCAAGAAAACCGATGATAGAGTTGAAAAAATGCATACACTTTAGTCCTTTTGCATATAAATTTTTAGGATTGAATTTATTATTTTATAGCAACCTACAGAAACATTGGAAACAAGTGAAAATATAAATTCAAACGAAAATCCCAGATATAAGTTACAGAAAACTATTGATACAGGTGAAGCAAGATTATATGACATGGTGATTAATAATGATGGCCTTCTCATATGTTCCGATGGCGAATGTGATCAACTCGTTACCTATACAATGACTGGTGAACGACAACTGACAATGAAGTTGTCAGGAAATCCATATAGTTTAGCTGTTATTGATAACAGCACTGTTGCTGTTACAATACCAAAGGACGAAAAAGTAGTTATAATAGATTTGAATAAAAAACGGACTAAGAGAGAAATTAACATTAGTGCGTGGTGTACTGGCATCGCATTTATTCATAATCAGCTTTATGTTTTTGCCAAACAAACATTGAAAGTTGTAAATATGGATGGGCCTGTCCTAGAAAGCATTGACTTGCCTGAGTTTACTTCAGATGATTGTTGTAGTAGTAGAGAAGGTAACATTTACTGCACAGATTACAATAAGCTGTATTGTATAGACACTAAGGCCAATGTATTATTTTCTTTTTCTACAAAGAATGCGATTCACCCTAGAGGAGTTACAGTAGATGACAAAGATTATGTTCTTCTTGCTTGCAGTCATTCGAAAAACGTTCACAGGATTACATCTGATGGTTCACAGAGCCAGGAGATTATAGCAGATTTACCAAAATCAGCTTGGTCCCCTTTTATTTGCTTTGATATAAATTCAAAATCAATTGTTATTGGAATGGAGAATAAGATTTTAATTTATGAAAGGAGAGAATGACGAACAATTATATTGGCATTTATAGAGTGTTATTTGTTTTACTAGCACACTACTGTGGAATGTTATTACCCGAATGTATCATTGGCCAAATAGTTAGAGATTCTCCCTTGATATGATTTTTTATATTTCTGAAATTTTCTCTTGATAAATAAAAAAGGATATTGACAAACAAAGGTTTCATATCCGCCAGGTAAAGTTGATCTCAGATAACTGGCATACAGGTGGGGCCTCTACCAAGAAACAACGGAAATCATCAGTCGAATATACGTCCTGGCAAGAATTAAATACATGTACTTAATATACAGAAACGCCCCCGTTACTTGTGATTGTTTTTTGCTGTTCTAATGTTAAGTTTCTCGCGGAATTTTTAATTTTTCGAAATATATTTTTCGACATTTTGCATCGGCTATTTGTCCGTGTAGCTTTTTTTTTCTAGTTCTTTCGGTTTTATCTTGCATCTCTTCTGCTTTAGCTTGATTGACAGTTAAGCCGCGATTGTGCATTTCAGAGAATCGTTCATTAACCTCTTTCATGGTTTTAGTTTGTCGCATGTCCGTTTATCGTTTGATTACAAAAGCATTTCAGAAACTGTCATCACCAACATGCTTGTATTGTTGTATAAGACAATGTTTTAATCATTAAATGGGTGTGTATAACACAATATAAGCATAACCATGTGATAAACCTAAACTAAACTTTAAGTACTAAATTATTTGGTCGTACAGACTTGATGCAAGGACTTATCACGAACAATTATTAGAAGTTAGAATTAATCGTGAATGCCATGTCTTGATCGTCTGATCTAACCGATTAAACATGAAACAAAGGATACAACAGACCGATAAATGTATTTCATATATTTCTTTACAATAAGGAGCTAACGTTGTGGTTTGTTGCGATCATCAGTATGGCTCGTTTCTTGGTGATACTACTGTTTGTGTGTTAGTTTAATTTTTTTTTTTTGTCTTTTTTGTATTGTTTGTTTACATAACCTTCTTGATATTTTTACACTTTCATTTGACCGTTCAATAGTCTTCTAAATTTTGTATTATTGTGCAAACTATAATGTCATACAAACATTGCTGATAGGTTTTTTTTATGTCTGTTTGCTCGTATAGCTGTTAATTGTAGGGTTGTTTCTCTTACAGTCCCGAAACTGTTTATTTATCTTTATTATTTTCCCTTTTTTCTCTGTGTAACTATCTTTTTGTTTTTTAAATTGTAAGTATCATTATTTGTGTTTGGCTTGTTTTTTTCGTTGTCTGTATATATCTCTGGTCTTCACACAGCTTATTTTTTGGAGGGATGTGCCTTTTTCTACAGAACTATCTTGGTGTTTAAGTTTTCTTCTTTTCTGTGTGGCTGTCAATGCTTTCGATTTGTTGTATTTGTCTGTTTAACTGTCTCTTTACTTCAGTATGTCTCCGAACCCACACAACTGTTTCATAGCTTATTATTTGTCTCGTTTATCAGTAGGACTCCCATATATTTGCTCTTATATCTGGTTAACAACTTTTGGTTTGTTTTTTTTCAGGTATAAACTTAAGAAGATGTGGTATGATTGCCAATGAGACAGCTATCCACCAAAACTTTTACTGAATAGTCGGCTATAAAATGCCTCGACATGAAACATATGAAACAATTCAATTGAGAAACTGACGCCCTAATTTATAGCAAAATAATTTACGAAAAACAAATATGACAGACACGAACTAACCCAAACCACTGAATTGCAGGCTCCTGATTTTGGACAAGCACATACATAATGTTGCGGGGTTATACATGTATGTGAGCGCGCAAACCCCTCCCTAATCTGGGACAGTCATGTTACAGCAGAACATAAGATCAAACTATAAAAATTAGTTGGAAAGGGCTTAAGTCATCAGATCGACACATATACGCTGTTTTTTACTTTAAGTTTGACGGTAATAAAGTATCGTCCACTTTTTGGTTTTGATGTGTCTTGTCCGTATTGTTCTTTTCTTGATTTTAGCTGATCTCATTTATTTTCTAGAGTTATTATTATGTCTCTTGTGTTTAGTTCCTGTACATACAATATAACGAGCATTTCATTGTCATATCTATTATTATTATTAGTAGTAGTAATAGAATATGTACAACATATTTGTTTTTTTACTTGTTATTATAATATATAATATAGAAATATAAAACCGAAGACCACATGTATCATTCACACAACCAATTGATTACTGTTCATTATAAAACTAACAAAGTGACATTTATAAAGTAATTGAATTATAAGACTGTCCGGGTATAATGATATCCCTCGGTTTATTTCGACATTATTCGCATTGATGTCTGTTTTCCTGTTTCTTCATAGAGCTTTTCTTTACTCAATGCATGACGGAAATACACGATGAATTTGCACATAAGTTACATCTGGCTGAACTCGAAATCTTGTAATTTTTCAAGCTGGTTGATTTTGAAATGACAAATTGGTAATATACAATAATTGTGGAAGCAATCGGTAAATGTCTCTTTTTTTAGGTTCACAATATCAAAAACTCCTGACTTAACACTATAATTGGCTTTGTTTTTGTTCTATTTCCTCACTTTATATCTAATGAGTATGGTGAGCAAATTACATACTTCTGAAGAAAGTGGAACGTATATGTCTTAAATTGGTGTTACTGTGTTAGAAGAATCATATTGTCATTGCCGTGTTTGGTATACGTTGTGTTTTATATATTGTTGCAAATACTTATTTGTTAATATATTAAAAAACAGACATTAAAGAATTGTTACATGTACCAATAAACTCATCATAGATACCAGGGTTGGTATCATGAAGGCCAGAGGCGCATTTTGTCTAAAACAGACCCATATATGATGCTCGAATCAAAAAGGTTATAAAAAAGCCAAACAAAGTACGAAGGTGGGAGCATTGAGGACCCAAATTTCCTAAATGTTTTGCCAAATACAGCTTAGGTAATCTATTCCTGGGGTAGACAATTCTTAGTATGTCGAAAAACTCAAAGTTTTGTAAACAGTTAGTTTATAATTCTGACCATATCAATGTATTTGCAATCAATTTAGATCCAGGTGATTAACAATAAACAAACTGTCATCATATTTAACATTGGTTCTAAGGTGTAAAAAAGTATGAAAACATTTGAAATATTTGTTTAAATTCAAGTAAATCAATTTAACACACACCTATTCAAGAAAAAAAGTATATTAACACAGATAATGTCTTTGTCCTATTTTAACATAGTCAAACTCAATTGCAATGGATTTTTATTTTTTATCTTATGTTATCTACCCATAACTAACTCATCCGGGAAATATATAGCATATAAACATATGCTTAACGATACTTACATGCTAACACATGTCAATCCTTTATGAAATATAAAAATGAGGAGATGTGGTGTGATTGCCAATGAGACAACTATCTACCAAAGTTCAAATGAAGTGGATGTAAGCAATTATAGGCAACCGTACTTGTTTTGTACGAAATGTACTCGTTAAATCAATTCAGCACATTAAAGGGGTATTAGCTGTCTAATTCATGTGCAGCGATTTGACTCAAATTTTCATATTTGATTTATAACATAACAAAACGAATATCAAACTACAAAAAGTCTAAAATAAACAAATAACAATACATGGACTCGATAATATGTATCAGCATTTCGTGTTATTTATTCTAGACGCGATTTAATTAACTATCGAGATGACCTGCAAAGACTGCCGAAGGTCATATTACCCGATATAAACATAAATATGAATATATATAGATAGCGACCACGTGCAATTGGCATTTTCTAGGTCTGTTTGATTTCATGTTTTAGGTTTGAAAAAATATGTCAATCATCGTTTTTACGTGTATAAGAATGTTTTTTGTGGATCAAATCAGTCAAGGAAATGGTTCACCCTTGTTTTACTCTCAATGTTGACATTCTTTTCCTTCTAATAGCTGAACACACCTAGTACATGCGTAACCCCCTGCTACAAAAAGAAATATGGCCTAAATCGACAGTCGATTCTTTATTAGAAACAAATATTGGCAATCCAAGATTAACAATAAAGTGCATTTCTGCCATAAATTATATTCTTGTCCGCTATGTTGAAAATGAAAAAAGGCCTAGGTGAGCGACATAGGCTATCTAGAGAGTCTAGCTGCATTTGCACGTTATCATCGTAATAAAGCATTAATTTACCACTATTCGACTAGTTTTTGTAATCATATAAAGCACAATTCGAACACAAAAAGAAAAGGCATCTTGCAAAGTTGTTCTATTTCACGGTTCACAAAAGTTGATTATGGTCTCTAAGTCAATTATCCACATTCAAATGAGTGCTTAATATATTTCATACATCCCAGGGCTAGTGAACTTGAGATAAAGACACTAAGAAAGTAGAAAGTCTGCATCATATCTTAATGTTTTATTACATATTACCATAGACGGAATATTTCTTATTTATGACAACTGGTATTATTTCAATCTTCCAATGGTGACAAACTTCCAATATATAAACAGTACCACACCCTCTGCTCTATGGTATGTTGTTTGACATCTCAGTCAATACGTTTGTGCATGTCCATACTATATGGATTTAATGAACAGGTATGTGCACCTTACACAAAATCTGCTCGAAAAGAGTTACGAAGAAGAACGACTAAAATATACACAACATACGTTTTGCGTTCCCCATAAAGAATTGGTTGACTAATACGATGTGTTGGTGTCTAAACTCAATAGTGACAAGTTGTTGCGGTCCTTTATCTTTAGATACCATTATTATCTTCTCATCTGTATTTCGTTTCGATTGTGTCCTATTCCGGATTGTGACATTTAAACAGATTGTGAATTTGCATGGCAAAGCAGGAAACACTTACCCCGTTGACCCAGCCGTTTCATTTTTTATTCGGAAGGTGAAACGATACCCTTTTAACTAGTTTTGATATCAAAATTTTCTAATAAATTCGCAAACCAAATGCACGTTTGTGTTACGTTTTCTATTGCGTTTCACCGACAACTAAGTGGCACGGAGAGAATTGTGAACTCTTCGAAATGATGCTGGTACAAATACTAATTAGGTCTTGTGTGTATGTTTAATGCAACGTTCACGACTTTGCAGTAGCAAATCAAAAACTCATCAAGAACATTTAAGGACATCCATCGTTTCCGCAAGTTTATTGTTTTCTGTTTGGTATCAAATTAATAATTAAGATCCATGTTACATCTAGTGATCAATTTATTTGGCAATCGCCAATGGCTGTCAGCAGGGTTTAAGAACATCAGTTGCTCGACCTGTTAGTCAAATGCGCTTTGTTAAAATATATACTTTTCACTTTTTGGTTTTTTGGAAAATGTTGTTTGTGATGCATTTAGACCCCTCTACCAAGAAATTTGTTTTACATGCATACGTATAAAAATTGAGGTTTTTATCCAACGCAATCATAGGTTTGAACGTTGTTTTCAATTCAGACTTATTTACATTATATATATATAACCATGCCAACAACATACATCCAAGTATCAAATTTACTCATGAGAAATCTAAATCCAAAATCACCTTCCTCGATACCTCCAGCTCGCTCATAGATGGCATCATATCCACTGATCTATATTCTAAGCCTACTGACAATCACCAATATCTGTCCCCTGAAAGTTGCCATCCTGCTCATTGTACTAAGAGCATCCCGTACAGTCAGGCACTCAGAGTCAAGCGAATATGTTCCAACACAGAAACAACTAAAAAACAACTACGTCAACTCGAAACCCGCTTGAAGAGAAGGGGCTACAAACACAGAACTATCCAAAAAGGTTTTCAGAAAGCGGAATACAAATATAAAAAGAAAAATACAAGGAA